CTGTTATGGCTGATACATTGTGTCAACTTGGGCAGTCTGGAGGTTTGGCTAAGTGACTCAGCAGTTCTGCATCCTGGGGTGAAAAGGACATGCCCTTCCTGCTCTAGGATGTTGTTCATTATGTCAGTGTGGGAAGTTCAGAAGGTTAACTGTGTGACTCAGCAGGGAGCCAGGGTGCTTACTTTGCGTTCATCCTGAGCCTGTGCAAGAGGAGGGCGTGGAGATTATGTGAGTGCTGCACGGCCCCTGAGTAGTGGTGGCCTGCTTACGGTATAAGGGAGGGGAAGAGGCTTGCTCACCCTGCCATTCCTCCTTTTTGCTTTTGTTACTTTGCTATCTTTCACTGCCATGAACGTTTGCCCTCTGCCATGTGCCACTCTGCCTCAGAGCCGAGCAAATATGGACTGAAACCTCCACAAACTGTGAGCTAAATAAACCTTTCCTTCCTTCATTTTGGGTGTTGGGTATATTGTCTCAGCAATGAGAGAAAAGTAACCAAGACACCGCCCTGAGTCAGGCTCTGAATGTCACAGCGCTTCTGTGGTGCAGCTGAGCAGCGTTCAAGGCCGCTTTCCTTTAAGCTCTCCTTTCTTTCCGAGTCCCGTGGGTGCCTTCATCACTGGGACAAGGATTCTGCAGTTACAAACATCAAAGTCTGGTCTGAAAAGAACTTTCTCCTCCCCTCTTTGTCTCCAGTTTAGTCTTTTACTGTGGAATAATTTTTACGACATAAGATTATTTTGTATAGTAGTGATCATCTGATGTTAGGTTCCTTTGGCAAAATATTTAATTACAAAAATGTCAGAAAAGGGTCCACTTGTCTAAAATATGACTGGTAGAGTCAGGAAAGGAATTTCACATGTGGCCAAAAACACGAAATGAGGTGGCACTGTTCCCCTCTCCCAGCACTGGGATCTCTGCATGCTCTGTCCCAGCATGTTGTCTCAGCACCCTTCCGGGCTCAGTCCTTTCTCCTGGTCCCTGCTCCCCCCACACAACCGAGCAGCACCTCTGCCACTCAACCACTCTGAATGGGCCAAGTCCCTTGTTTCCTCGGCATTCTCTTGACGTTGGGCTCCCCTGAGTCTTTTTTTTTTTCTGAAGGAAAGCGCACAGGGAGCGTGTGCGTGCGCAGGTGTGTGTGTGTGTGTGTGTGTGTGTGTGTGTGTGTGTGTGTGTGTCTGCTGGCAATGGGAATGTGGAGCAGGTAGGAGCTTGGCAGGTGACTGGAATGCCCTCAACGTTCCTCTCAACTTTCAAGTTTGCAAGCTTCTTTCAGACTCTAGCTCTTCTTCCTGGAGCCTCTGGTGATGGCGTCACCAGGGTCCCCCTTCTGCAACTGGATCACCAAGGGAAGCTGAGCCCGGCTGGGCCATGGAGGGTCAGGGCCTCACTTCAGCGGGGTCTCACTCAGAGAGTAAAACTCACTCGTCACAGAGATGTGGGAAGAGCCAATGTGCACGGGGGGGTGGGGGTGGGAGGAGAGGAATCAGATCTGGAATTGAAGTGTTTGTGTCTCCTTTACACTCCCGCCTTCTTCCTTCTTTTACTTTTCCCTTCTCTTCCTTCCTTCCCTTCTACCAAACAGAAGTAGAAGGCATTCTATCTGGGGGTATAACTGGGTTTATTGTTATCAAATAAAATATTTTAAATTAATTTCCATTGGGAAAAACTAGCCTGTCATGAAGTTGTTCCCTGCTTTTCCTCTAGGTTAAAACTATCCAAGAAATAATAAATGTTTAATTCAAATGATACGTACTGAGTGTCTATTCCATTCCAAACATAACGGCAAGGAATGAGCTTTTAATTTTTGTGCTTGTGAGGTGTTATGGTTTATGTCTGTGTGTCCCCTCCAAAACTTCATGCAACCACGGGGCAGGCTCTTAGAGTTTGATTATTATGGGTATGAGAGCTACACCCACCCTGGGGTGGATAGTTTGCGTATGTAAGGGAGAGGAAAAGGGTGCTTGAGGACATTCCTCTGCCATTCCGCCCTGGTGTGTGCTTGCAGCTTAGCTGTGTTCTGCCACCCTGAGCTAGCTCTCTGCCATGTGCCACTCTGCCTTATAATCTGCCAAGTACGGACTGAAACTTCCACAAACTGTAAGTGAAATAAACCTTTCCCTCCTTAATTTTGGGAGTCAGGTATTTTGTCCCAGCAGTGAGAAAAAAGTAACCAAGACATGAGGTTTATAATCTTACACTACTAATCTGATCACAAAAATCAGTATGCACAATCGACAGTAAGTGCCAGGATGGACTATGCGGAGTTCTGCAGCCATGCACTGGACAGTCTCAGGGTCAGGGGCAGTGATGATAGAGGGAGGCCAGTCCCAGACAAGGAGCCTGTAGGGTGAGAAGGGATGGCCTGGAGGATGTGGAGCTGGGCTGGTATAAGCCAGGCAAGCTCTGGGGGCAGCTTGTGACACCAGGCTGAGCCAAGAGGCAGAGCTTAATCAAAGGTTCTGGATCTCTATTTAAAAAAAGAAAGGTCACACCACTAAAACACTTCAAGGAGTGGGTGTACCATGGAGGGAGAGAGGGATAAAAGCAGCATTTTCTTGATGCAGCAGAAAGCATGAGAGAGAGCAAGAGAGAGAGAGAGAGAGAGAGAGAGAGAGAGAGAGAAACAGAGAGAGAAACAGAGGGAGAGAAAGAGAGACAGTAACAGCGGAAAAAGGGTGAGAGACAAACAGAGAGAAAGAGAGACAGAGACAGTGCAAGGGGAACTGGATGGAAAGCATTTATTCAATTAATTGAGGCAGGAAGAGGAAGGGAGGGAGAGAGGAAGGAAGGAAGGAAGGAAGGGAAGGAGGAGGGTTCTCATAATGCGACTGTTTGCGGGAATGAATGATAGAGAAGCCGCTTTCGAGGACGAGGCATGGTTTCTTCCGGGCTTCTGGTCGTGGGACTCCTGAGTGATTTCAAGCAGGGACACGTTCGGTCAGATGTGCACTTTAGGCATGTCCCAGGTGGCTGTGCGGAGGGTGTACTTGAAGGAGGGGCTCAGCAAGTTCCCCATGAAATCTGAGTCAGAGTTGTGAGGATCTGGATGAGGCATGACTGCGTCAAGTGCTCTAGCCGGCTACCATTCATCCCGCCGGCCAGCCCTGTGAGTAATGCGGAGTGTGTGGCTCCCTTTCACATGTGTGCAACAGCAGCTTTGAGCAGCACCTCCTAAGAAAGTGTTTGCACCACTCAAAGGCTGTACTCAATTAAGAAGGAGAGGTCCTTGAACTTCAGATAGAACAAAACATTAAATTAAAATTTCCAGCTCAACAAAATAAAACCTGTCTCCTAAACAAAGACTTTTTACCACGAGAAGCAGAAACACCATTTGAACATTTGGAGTCAGCATAAGTGGAGTAAAATATTACACAGGGAATGGAAAGAAAATTGATCAGTTTTGCTAATAATCATTGTCTGGGGCTCAGGTATATTTTTTCTTCTTTTCAAGTGCTCAGCTGGTAGTAACCAGTTCATCAGTCTTTACCTTTCTTCACGTCCCTCTTTAGTACATAGCCAATGGTTCTTCAATTGAAAATCAACTTTGCCCAGACCCTGCAGTCTCTCACACATTTTTTTTTTTTTTTTGTCTAATCTGTCTGGTAAGTCTCACAGAAGTTAAAATCTAACATGTCCTTTTGCTGGTCTTAAGTTTCCAGGCTGGGGAAATTACAGAAGACAGAAAGGCATACTGATGTCACTGTTCATTGTCCAAAAGCCCAAACAACCCCTGGAGGTTCATGACGTCTCTCTCTTCCTGTGTACTCCAGGACTACTCTGAATCCCCCGTACTCTCTTCAAATGTTTAACCTTGTTAGCTTGTACCTCATGCTAAGCAGATGCCTCCACACCTTTCCTGAGAAATTTACAAACATTTGAAGGGATCTCTTTTAACCTCTCCATATGAAACTTAAAATTTGCCTACACCCACACTAAACACCTCCTTTTCTTTTTGATTTCATTACTTGAGTTGCACATTGACAAATGGAGGTGCAGACATAAATTTATGCCTGGGCTGGAAATCTTAATAAACTCAAGGTGTCAAAGATGATATTTTGAATATTTATTAGTAAGGCTGAGACAACAGCCTTTATACAGCACAATTTATATAAGTTATCAAGATACATCTTGTATACAATCACAAAACCAAGACATATTTTTACATAGAGTAAAACCCAAGACAGATTTACAAGCAATTTTATACAAGTCTCATATATTTCCAGATCAATTTATATCCAAGAATTTGCATTTGTTCATTAGGTTTTCCAGAAGGATTTAGGGAAAAAAGAAAAAAAAAAAAAAGAAAAAACACACTAGCGAATCACCAACATGGCATGCAACATATAGTCAGAAACAAGACATATCTCCAAGTACTGTATTTTTATTTTGAAATCAATTTTATTAGGTTTTCAATTTTTTTGAGACAAGAATCTTTTATTTAACATCAGATGTGTTGTTAGGACGTTAGTACACACAGTAGAGGGTGTACTGATCAGTAGAGGGTGCACTTAAGCACGTCACTTAAATATAGACACAGTCAAAGAAGAATCGTATTCACATGCTAGATGCCAAATGAAATGAGTATTTCAACTTTGCCTATTTTACCAAGTGTATCATTATATACAGCGTAACGAGTTAAGAAAACCCTCACTTAATCTACCTACCAGGGAAGGAACTTGATTAATTGAGTTGGGTTTAACGGGAATCCTTAATCATAAGAAGGTGGGACATACAGAAAACATCAATGTGTTGCATTCCATGAAGGTATCTTATTCATTCACCATATAGGCAAGTAATTATTTAAAAAGCTGTTCATAACCAGTCACTGAGCTTTCTTTTACTTTCATTTCAAACTCAAATAGAGGGAAAATCACTTCTGTCACACACAAAGATATAAACACTTATAGCTGTAGTTGGCTGATTTTGGAATATTTGACATTATAGCAATGAAAATAAGTTTTTAAAAATATTGTTAGTTATGATTTAACTAATAAAGTAAAAAAATATTATCAACATCTTTATGATATCTTAATGAAATGAAGCATTGATCAAATAATTTCTAATAAACTGGGCACAATATAATAATATATAATTTATTTTACTTCACATCACTGACCACTGTTAGTGTCACTATAGATACCACCACGATCGTCCTAACCGTTCCTATAATAAAAGTCATTATCAGCTGGTTACCAGCTATAATATTCCCACAAGATGACTATTTAAATGTGTGCAATCCACAAAATAAATCTCACCGGTATGCTGAAAATATGCATTTACTTAGTATGATTTATTAAAATATGGACAATATTAAGGAGCAAAGACAAGTGCTCCCCTTCATCTTGGATACTGTTCTCTTAAACTGCAATGGCAAATAAACAATTCAGTGTCTCAATAATTTCCTTAATATTAAGTAAAAACAGGGAAAACACCTCTGTCTTGATGTTGTGGTCATATGTGTCTATAATGATGAGTCTGTCATCTCCTTTCTTTTGTAAAAATTCACTCTGTGCTTTTTCTTCTACAGCTGAAAGTTTCCTTACACCAAATTTTAAAGCAACAAGGAGACTCAGTCTTTGATAACACAAGGAATCTTTGAGAAAACTCAGATGCTTTTAAAGGTGCAGTAATTGGACTAATCACACATTAACTAGAGATTATAAACTGTCCCCATTAGGATAAAAAAAGGTAATCCCATTAAAACAAAATAAAATAAAAAGTGGAAAATCATGTGCTGTGATATATACAAAAAAGTAAAAAACACCAAGAGCCCTGTTTGCAATTAAAAAAAGAAACAGTTTTGTTGTAAGAAGGGTAATCAACACCATGCAGAGGAGATGCATGCACTTAAGGACCGGTGTTGCATAGAACAATTCCAGTACAGCCCAGGAGCTTGGCCGGCTGCTAGCTGGCACACTCCGGACCTCACACACTCCCTGCAGGGGTTGCTGGTGCGCGAAAGAAGCCCTGTGGCGGCGTCTCTTCTGGTTGACCCAGCCCACCACTGTCCTTCGAACCAAGGGGCACCCGCAAGGGCAAGGCTCCTACTCCCTCGCGGTCAGTAGCTAGGTAGGGATAATTCTGGATTGCAGTCCCCCGACTAGGTTATTCTGAGGGAAGCTGCGGCTGCACCGCGGTGAGCCATTGACCATCAGCTCTCACCCTGCGGATGAAGCCTGAAGAGCGCCAGGGCTCACCTGTGAGGCAGAGAGCCAAGCTCTCCATGCCAGAGGGAGGGCATTAGGTCTCCTCCTCCCCCGTTATGACTGATGATTTAGGCTTCCTCAAGGGCTAACTGCTCCTGGAAATATCCATCAGCAGATCTAGTAATCTCTAAAAAGAAAATCCTAGCGATGTCCTATTTTAGGTGCTTCTCCTCCCCCGCGCCCAGCGCGCTGCACACCAGTAACGCGATATCCGTGAAGGGTGAGCCGTGGGAAGACCGGGACATGCTGGGTGCAGAGAGGTGAATTTTATTTCCTTAATGAACAGTAGCCTGGGGTATTTTAGAAATTCTTCAGTTTTAGTGTTTTACATCTCTCTCAAATTTATTTTTTCTCAATTGAGAAAATTCAATATACAACCAATATTTTAGAGTTGGCTCCTTTTAATGCCACTAAAACCTCACTTTGAATAAAGTAGCAGCTTTTAAATTCAAAATGCTGAGAAGCAATTTAGTTTATTTCGGGTAAGATATGAGCAAGGGATAAGATCAGTGTAACCCACTGCATTGAGCATAACAAAATTTGCACATCTTTTTCATTTAATTCATCTTTTTTTCCAGGTTAAATCAAAGTTCACATCTTAAACAAAAAGTGAAGTGTTTACTTTTCCTAGTTTACTATTTTTATCCATCCCAATGCTTGCCATTGGTTTGGAGGGTGATATTACATATAAAATTAGAATTAAAAAGTTACATAATAATTATACCTCACTTCTGTGTATAAAACTATATTTGGAAATGTGCTTTCATTTTTCATAGGTCTCTTGAGTTAATCATTCCAACATCCCATGAGGACAGTTAGGAATGTAATATTATTTTTATACTATGGATAAGAAAACTGGAAGAAAGTGAGTGTAAGTGACATGTACAGTGTCAGTAGCAGAATCAATAAAGAAGCCAGGATTTTAACGCCCACTGAGTGTGTTTCCCACAATTCCAGGTTACTTCTACTACCTGTGGTGGATGGGGAAGAGGATTCTTCATCTAAATGACATAGACATTTGTTGTTTCATTGTATATTATTAAAAGAGTTCAAAGTCTATTTTAATCTCAAATGTTGACATTGTACGTATTTTCCCCTTGAACATTGTGATACTGTCACAGTGGAGGGAGGGACAGAGTGCCAGAGAAAACTTGAGTCTGGCATCAGAGTTTTCATTATACAAGTAATGAGTGCAGGGCAAAAACATCATGGAAAAGCAGAAAATGACACCAATTTAATTTCACAAGATAAATATGATTTGTTTGCCAGAGAAAAGATTTTTCCTCTCTGACAATACATTACTCAAGAGAAAAGAAATATGCAGGATACACATTTATTTGCAAGTCCACAAAGAACAAGTGATCATGCTTCCTAGAACATACCAATCTAACCTAGGTCCTTTGGTGTGTAGATTGAAAATGCCTAGCTTAATGGACAGTTATGGAGACTCCGACATCTTCAACCAAATTTCCAGTATCAGGTGAGTCAACAGTCTTTATTCACCTGATGTGGTTTTATTTCTAGATAAATAATTTCATTTTTACCTAGTATTATCTTCACTCTATACTATTCAAAACTATACTGAAACAAATGTGCTTTTACCACATGGATTCCACAGTTGGTGTTGTGTACCCCACCATGTTAGACACGAGCGAACCTGCACAACGTGGGTTGCTAGCCACGACTTCTGCGCCGCCTGCCTCCTTGGCCCACGGACACTGTGGTCTTCCTCCAGTCCTGGGCGCACATCGAAGGTGCATCCTATGTTAGATCTCAAAAAGTAACTTGTCTGAGAACACAAGATGAAGAATTTTTCCACTGTTGAGAACTGAGATTTATTACATCAGTTCTTTCAGCCACACCTTCTTGCATGAAAGTTTCTTGCATGCTGCCTTTGAGATCACATTTGCCACTGTGCCTCATATCTGCTAGAAGATTCTCCTTTGCTGTAAGAAATCAAAATTCCCCTCCCACCTCTTCGCCACCAAGAAAACCCGAGGTCTCAGAGCTCTACTGCATTGGTTTGTTTTCAACCTCTGAACTTTTCCATTTGTGTCTCCTCCTGTGACCCACACAGTGAGTTCACCAGGTTGTTGGTGAACAATGGTGTTGTGCCTGTTGGTCTCCTTTCGAGCTCGCCTTGAGGATAGCTCAGTACAACAGCATCCAACCAGTCAGGATGGAGGTGACTCCCCCTGAGCACACGAAGTTCTTAGTGCGTCTGAGTGGGACTGACCAAGAGTTTATGCCAGTTGACAATTCTTTTTCTGAGATCCACTTTGTCAAGCCAGATACAGGCTTCACCAATCAAGGTCTTTTTCATAAATTTCCCTCCATTGGAGAAAAGCAGAATCTACAAAAAAAAAAAAAATCCACATTTTATATATATTTCTGTATGAACACACACATATGCACATATATATTTTTCAACTGTTTAACAGACCCAAAGAAATAGCACAGACAAGAGGGGACAGGTATGAGGTTTTTTTTTGTTGTTGTTTTTGTTTTGGCAAGAGAATAATCAAGATAGTCTCAAAAGATTTCCACAATATGAATTAATTAAGGCTAACATTTAAAACTTATTCCCTAAAGGAAAAGATACACGCTGAAGGATATGAGAACCCTAGATAAGAACTGTATAACCGGCTAATTCTAATTAGACGTATGCTGAAAATGATGGAAAGTTTCACAAAATAACTCTTCTAAATACATTTTTATTAGTTTATTAGATGCTGAATCAAGCAGAAAAATGATTTGAATGCTGAGTAAACAAATGAGACTTCATTCCCATTTAGTATTTGCTGATTTAACTATAGTATGCTCTTACAACACGATTCCTTCAGTCATGTATGGAAATAATGTTATTCTACAGATCTGAGAGTACAGAGATTTTCTTTCTCTTTAACTAAGTAGTTGAAAGAATTGTGGAGAATCTTGGATCAATCTGTTCATCCTTGATAACTTTCTGTATTTTTCTCCCTTCTATATTACTCTTCAGAAACTCATGCAGGTAATTCAATTGTTTTTGCCTCTCTAAATCTTCATTTTTCTTCAACATTAAACATATATTTCTGGATATGACATCTCTTCTGGTTTTGGGTGTGGAGATTTCAAGGGACCCTGAATTATCCCTTGAAACATTGTCTTAGCAAATGGATTTCAGGGATCTTCCTCGCCTTCTGGTTACTGAATCTCTGACACATTTGGGCACCCAACTTCAGAGATTATCCTGGGCTGATCCAGTTAACCACCTTGAAGGGTCTCTGCTCCGCAGGGCAAGTGTATTTGTCGTTAGCTCAAGGCTTGGTGTGCCAGCGCCACAGGTCTCTTCCTAGTCGTTCCTCTCTCCCCATCCACCTGCACTTCCCCGCCTCACCCTGGTTCTGTGTCTCCTGAGGACACAATGGGGGCAGAGAGCGGAGCACTGACAAGCAGGCCTTGCCTTAGAGGAGGCGAGGCGTGGAAGCCCAGGTCCTACGTACATAAATTGTTGCATGAGACGAACTGGGCTTGTAGCGCAACAAGGAAAGGAATGGATCTGTGAACCGTGTGCGAATTATACCTAAGATCCCAGGCAGTCCCCGGGTTTGTTCGATACACAGCGAGGCGATGGATGGAGAGAAGTGAGGAGGGAGTTTGATGGGAAGGAAATGGACGTGACCAGCGGTAGAAGTTGACCTGATATGCAGTGAGGTGAGTCGGTGCAGCTGGCGAATGGGGGGAGTGGAAAGGCATATAAGAAGCTGTGACTAAATCGACACAATTAAAGCTCACCTTGGAGGACTCTGAATGATTCCAGGTAGCGGGGATAACCCAGCCAGGGCTTTTACAAGCCCAGCCTGGCCGCAGTGTGAGGGAGTGAACGGAAGGGTCCCACAGAAATGACCACGTGGCCAGGAAACCCCGGACATGGGCAGAATAGTAAGGATGGGCCAGCGAGGGCAAGGACAGTGAGTGCAGGGGGCAGCACTGGCCACACAGAGCCGTGCAGACGAGGCAGCGGGGGCGGGGCGAGCAGAGGGCAGAGGGCCCCTGCGTGCATGCGCCTCGGAGAGTTTGTATTTTCTCTAATGCCTTAGGTGTATGATTAGCGCATAATGCTGAACGACTGAGTAGCGAATACACAAATGCAGTGTAAGTGAGAAACGTAAGGCAGTAACGATACAAGAGAGAGTTACCTGAAGAGAATGTCCCGCAGGACTGAGGCTGAATCTGAAAGTTTCGTTGAAGGAAGGCTCTCGATCATGTCTGCACACTCTTGTCTTTTTCTTGATAACCTTCTTTTGAGTAGAGATGTTCATCACATATATTTTCACATACAAATCTGAAAATAACATTGCAGCCCGTTAGGTTCCATCAACCTTATAATTTTTATTGCAATAGCTGCATGCTGGGAGTTCCTCTGTGGTTTATAGCAGCAGATTTCACATACAATTTATTTCAGACAACATGAATGATTAAACAGAGAACACTTTTCTTAGCAATTAAACTTTATTTCTTGCTTTTAATGAATGTCTCACTAATTAATGTGTTGAAAAATTTTTCTTAGCTAAAATATTTAAGAAAAAAAGATTTTATCCATATTGTAGAAATTAACTCTTTATATATTTCTGATGTATTTGCTGTACAGACTAAATGTTAGTCTATGTTTCACATAATATTTAAGACACCTCTGTAATGTTTGATACACTGTGTCAGCTTAAGAATTGAGAAGTGTACAAGGTTAATTAAGTGATTTAGCAGGGGCCAGGGTGCTCACTTTGTAAACATCCTGAGCCTGTGCAAGAGGAGGGCACTGAGATGGTGTAGGTGTGTGCAGGTAACCGGCATACAAAATGTGGGAGAAAAAGAGGCTTGCTCTTTCCCCTTTTTGCTCTAGTTGCTTTTGCTGTCTTCTGCTGCCTTGAACTGTTGCCCTGTGCCCTGCCAACCTGCCGTGGAGCCAGCTGATTACCAACTGAAACATCTATAAACTGTGAGCTAAATAAACGTTTCCTTCCTTAATTTTGGGTGTCAGGTAGTTTTTTTTTTTTTTTTAGCAACAAGAGAATAACAACCAAGACAGCCCCCTTAATAAATTCCTAGATGACTTATATTTATTTTTATCATAAAGTTAGATACCTGGTAAGTGGTCAGGAGACTTAAATTTGTAGGTAATGTTTCTGCATTGGAGAATTTCAACTATTAGTTGTTCACCATCTGTCTTCATTTCTTTTTTCAGTGCAATCTTGATTTCTCCCATTACCTGAGTTTTAACTGAAAGAATTTAATGAAAATGTTGAGAAATTTTAATTTTGTTATTAAATGCTTACTTCAATCATCCATGCATGCTTTCATTCACTGAAGATTTATCAAGTGGTTAGCCTCTAATTGCACTGCACACACAGATAAGTCAAGCACAGCCCAAGAATAACCTCGTGGGGAGAGGGGTGATTTCACAGATACAGCAAAGTCTATTCAATACAATGACAGGCTAGTAACAAAGGAGGTGGAAGATGTGTCTCTCAACTGTAGAATTTTAGACCAAAAGAACTAATCGATGAGACCACAGGAAGGACATACAGAAAAGTAATAAAATTCTAGCATAATTCAGAGTAAATAACAGTGTCATGTGAAACACAGAAAGTTGTTTGCCAGTAATTGCTCATCACTAGGCTTGCTCCAGAACACTTAGCAACACAGCAAATACCCTTGTGTATTACTTTTCTCCTTTTCTGTTTTCCTTTGTAAAGGAAATAACTAGCAAGAATACTCAGTAAGAGAATTGCACAAGGAAGAGTATGATGAGCGATGCAAAGTGAACTCAAAGCATTCCTCTGCTGTGTTTTCTCCTGAGTTTTCTGGTGCTGAGGAAGGTACTTATTCCAGGTCAAGCCCATTATTAATTCACCTGCTCCTCAATCACCGTTCATCCAAGGAACTGTTCACTAACACATACTTTATTTCTCGTCTGACCCTGTGCTCAGCTCTGTGTTTCAGAGAACGAGCACGCTGGTGGCCAACACAGCACACTCCTTGGTGTCATGGTTTTCCCTCTATTGGGAAGAAGTAGATTTCTGTCCATAAATACACGATCAGAAAGAGAGAAAACGTTCTGAAGTACAAGAGCGCTGTTTCAAGAGACCATAACCAAGGAGCCCTGGCCTGGGAAGTGCTGCATGAGCTGAAACCAGGAGGATGAGGAGGACTTAACAGGGTCAGATGGTGGGGAAGATGCTCTTCCAACAGAAGGAGCAGTGCGCTCACAAATGAGAACTTCATCTGGGAACTGAGGTGCCTGTGATTTCACAGTAGTACTCACTGAAGCCATGTTAACAATGTGGTTTTTACTTTTAGAACACACGACTTTATTGACAATCTCTAAACACAGCTGTTAATAATTCTCAAACATTTTGGTCTCAGGAGTTCTTCACACTCTTAAAGAAATGGAATGTCTTCCCAGCACTTGTCTGTGGATTATAGCTATCAATGTTAGAAATTAAAAGTTTATAATTTTTAATTCAATGAGAAATTGGATAGTCAAAAAATTTATTACCTTAGTTAAAATTAAAATATTATACACATAAATGTTTTAATGAAAAAAAGTATATATTTAAACAAAAAAATGAGGAGTGCAGCACTTCCTAAACGCTTGGCTTAGCAGAGGACAGATGGATCCTCACACTTGTTTCCACATTAAAGCTACTGCAATATGTTATCTTAGCGGAACTGCATAAAATTCATCTCACATCGACATATAGTTGGAAAAGAGAGGAGTCTCTTTCTGTCCTCTCCAGACCACTGTGGATACTCTGTGGTGCTGTACCAATACTTGACACATGGTAGTTTTTTAGAAGATTGTGGTAATGAGGCATCTCAAACCAAGTCAATGAGCTTTTGCTGATATTTTAAAAATCCCTGAGTCTACCCTACACTTTGAGTGGATCTTTTAACTCTTCCTGAGTTGATAGTAAATATATTCTTACATAAATACATTATGTGTTGAAAAGATCTAAAAGGTAGGAAAAAACAATTTGGTGCATACAATAGACATTAAACAATTATTTTCTCATATTTTCTGATGTAGCTTGTGTGGAAAACAAATTTTATTTAGCATTTTAGATTGGGTCATTAAAACTAGCTTTATGCCATCTTTTAGAAACAATGCCAAATGTTTCCAGTGAAAAATACAGAGATTGGTATACACTTCCAATGTGTGGGATCCACAGACACACAGCAGTTGAAACCTTGTTATCAGATAAAGTACAGGTCAGTCAAAATGCAGAAAATAAGACAAGGAAAATCTTTGGGCAAACCAAACAAATTCAGAAATCATAATAAAGCCATTATGAATACCTATGCACCACTGATACAAGGTTAAAGCTACAGAATAAGGAGTAGGAGGAAATATAAGGAAGAATGAAAAGCATAATAATATTAATTCAATGTTAGTGGGACAAGCCAGGCCATGTGGACTAAAATAAGCACGCCATCATGACACCACAATCAATGAAGTTGATCTCCCAGATGCATATCGAGCACTACACCTGGATGGTGGAGGATACATCTCTTTTCTCAATCAATGCAGCATAATCACAGAAATGATCACATATTATATGACAAGGAAAACATCAGTAAGTTCTATGAAAAGGAGATATTATAACAATTAACTGATGACACACACAAAAACAACTCAGATGAATAATGAAACTATGAGAAAATACTGAGAAGTTCTGAAAAATAATGATGACTAAAACCGTACACTTCAGAATCTAGGAAATTTAAAGTGAGAACCACAAGAAAATTCGTACCTAGAACTCTAATTTTGAGACAGAGGTGTTGTTTCTGTTTCTTTTTTTGTTTGTTTGTTTGTTTTTTGTCTTTTTGAGACAGGGTCTTGCGATGCAGTTGAGGCTGGCCTTGAGCTCACTTTGTAGGCCAGGCTGGCCTCGAACTCACAGCAATCCTCCTACCTCAGCCTCCCGAGTGCTGGGATTATAGGTGTGTGCTGCCACACCTGGTTTAAAACTCTAATTTCACTCGGAATGAAGAACTGAAGAAAATATGAGTTCACTAATGCTGCTTCAGTGAAAAGTTTTTTAAAAATAATTTAAGTTCCAACTCCAAATTGAGGCAAAGAAAAAAACAAGGTGTGAAAGAAGGTATGAGGAAAAGATGAAGATAATACACTAATAGGCAGAGAATCTTTTGAAAGTAGGTAAATTAATAAAGAAAATTCTGGTGCTTTGAAAAAAACCAACAAATTAGAAAAACCCCTAGTGAATTTAATCAGTGACATGTGGCCTCTTAACTACTATGACAGCGCATCTCCTTCAGGGATTTGGTGCCGGCGAATACATTCCAGCGCAGAACTCTAATGCTTGTCAGCTCATATTTGCTTACATGCTCTTGACGGACAGGAGCCTGCAAGTCCCAAATATATTTACTTGGACTTGTGAGTGAGAACCCAGCTCCAGTCACTTCATCATTGTAAATAAATATTGCCACACTCATTCCAATCTGCACGTTCCGTTTTCAAGGATTCTTTCCAGAAAACAGAGCCTCAAAAGTAAACAATGAGGAATTGGACCTATCTTAGGATCTCCCTTCTTCACCCTCTAGAGACAGTATGAGGAACGACAGCAAAATAGAAGTTCAGGGAAATGTTAACCAGCAGCAACCCGACAAGGGATGAGCTACAGTTTCCTGCTAGAAATTGTAAAAACTCGGGTCAAGGAATGGAAAGACAAGATGCCAGTAGGCACAGCTTAGTGGCATTCTCAACTGTACAGGGAGGTATCCCAGTAAAAGCCAGCAAGCTGACAAAATCTACAGAATCACCACCAACCTCCTCATCACTGACAAATGGGCAGGTCAAACCTGACAAATGGGCAGGTCAAAGCTTAGGAGGAGTCAAGCTAAACTTCTGTGACCGGGAGTCTCCACTCAACACAGCGATGGCCTCAGGGTCTCAGCAGAATGAGAAAGAAACAGCCAGGACTCCCCATTCCCAGAGCTCCGAGATGAAGCAGGAGTCAGCACAGAACATCGAAGACACACTTGCACTTTCTGGAGCGAATGCTGGCCAAGAATATTTGACCAAGTCTCACGGTGGACCAAAGCCTGCTCAACTAAGTTGGCAAACCTGTAGACAGTTCTATGTCTTCCCTCCACACCAGGGAAACGTAGGTGGAGTTATGCTCTCATCTCTCCAGCCATCTCTGGGATGGGGGGAAAAGGGCTCCTCACTGAAAGGGAGGAAGGCAAGGAAAAGTCATTCACAGCGTGGGGAGCTGATGGAAATGGTGGACGGAGCTGGTCACCCCCGTGAGCATGACAACATTCTCTTCCAGGAGAAATTCACTGTTTTAGGTTATTTTTTTCCTTTACAGGCCTAAAGCATCAATACAGCAACCATGAGAAACTTGTTATTTCCCACCTTCTCACTTGGGGAGAAAGGCGGGTTCAAGCCTGCTAATTAAATTTCTCAAGTCATCACACCGCCATTTCTTTCTTGGAAGCTGAAGTTCACATGCTTCACAGAGTGACACTCGTGAAGATGTTTTACAAGTTTCAAAGATTTTTCCAGCTCACTCTTTAATATTTCCACTGAGGGAAGAAAAGAACAGGCACACTGGTGTTGCCCACAGCAGTTGCTTGTGGTGATGGTGGGCTACGGGATCAGTCCCTTCTGCTCTTTTGTAGGTTCTGATGGTTTTGTCCCTTGAAGCGGGAGCATAGATGGAGGAGAAAAGCTCGGTGTACACTCTCTCCATGGGGTGGGCAGCACCTCAGTGTCTGCTTCAGACTGTGAACTAAAAAAAATAGCGCCTGCACACAGGGTGAGGTGATGTTTCGGAATAAAGAGGAAATGACACAGGAAAAGTGCTTTGACCCATCTCCGGGTCTCTTGGTGTCCTGAAACCTATGCTTCTGTAGTTTTATTTAAAGAATTAGGCTAGAGTGAAAGTTTAGGAATGTTTTCATCACAAAAGATAATGACCGTATAAGGAGACAGATATGTTTCATTTCAAATACTGCACAATATATACTCCTATGGAAGTAGCACACGGCACTCCATGACATGTAGTTTTCATGTGTCAATTTCAATAAAAGGATAAAAATCTTACTCTAGAGAAGACATCTATCTTGCAATGTGGTGCAAACCTAGAACTCAGTAATAGGAATAAGGAAAGGAAGAAGAGATGGAAGAATAAGGTGACTTACTGAGATGACAAAATATCAGATAAAGTAAATGAAACAAATGAGGATTTCAA